AAATTTTCGAGAGTATTTAGTCTGGATGATACGCTATAATTCAAGATAATGGAGACAAGTAGCAAGGCTTCACGTGCCGTCCCTGATTTCGACTGATTGCTACAACACGCGCAACATTTCCAAACTTCCAGCCCGAGTTTGGATCGCCCCTGGCGCGACAAGATATGATGATGATGATGATTTAAGATAATTATTTTAGTCTATGCATATTTTTTGCAAAGTTAAGTCAGCATCTTGAATTAACAGACTCAAAAATTATTGATTCCATGTAAAGAAAGAATATAAAAATTAATATGCATCTGATATAAGAGTTTTTCCCAGACAATCTTACTGTTTTTAACGGCTAAGTTGTTTTTTATATGTCTTTTATTGACGAGAGTAAATCAAAATAGCAATCATCGCTCGTACACGTGACACGTCTTAGTCCTATTAGCTATGTAGGTACTAGTTATGATTTATACCTTAGCTGCTACCTTAACAATCCTATTGCCATATTTAACTAATTTTATTTGCACTAGTACTAGTACTGCTTGTGAAGCACTTATCCTTCATGTACCATAAATGATCGTTAATTAATTGATTCTGTGAACGTTGACCAGAAATTTCCACTGACTTTGAAACTATTATTTGTGTTTGTATGTAACATGTGAAATATTGGAATTATCATTAAATGTCTCATTTACATTCCACTCAACATGTTACATTCTTAATTTAACAAATAACTAGCTCGATATGGTAACCAGCAACTAGTTTCAGTGGTCAGCGTAGATTTGTCTCCACTTATAGAAGTCGTGATTTTCCCACTCACTCACGTATCATGTAAAAAACTTCAATTTTGGCTACTTTTTGTCGCCAATTGCTCACACTTCAAAAACAAGCGTAGTCTGTATGATTCAGGAAAGGGTTTTTATACAAAAATTCCATTTGATACAGAGTTTAATTGAAGTTTTAAAAGTTGATTTGTTCAAATCAAATATGAAAATTTAAGACAATCATGTATAATTTCTTTAGGTATATAAATAATAGAGAATTATGTAATTTAAGACAATCATGTATGTTCTTTAATTTATCACAAAATCAATTAAGAAATATTCAAAAACAACAAGTGAAATGAAAAATTTCATGTTCACCTTAAAAACATTTTTATATCAGACATAAAGTTGTTTATTTAATGTACAAATTTTAAAACAATTTGTCGTAAAACATTAAATACTGACGAATGTCACTCTTCTTTGTGTGGCAAAGAACACTCGTGCGTAAATATCCCAGGATCATACGAAAGCCTATGCTCGAATGGATACATTTTTTCAAATCTAAAAAGAAAAGTTTCTGTAAGTTGGTCTTTCTAGATCTTATAACATATGTTGCAAGCTTACCCGGCTACATAGAAATCATCTAGAATATACAACTTCATAATGTCATTATGGTCATTAAGACAATAACATCTACCAGTTGTCTTCATAGTCCTCTATGAAATAGTGATAATATTAGTACTGCACTACATTCCAGAAAAACTTTGCTACCAGGTCTTTTCTTTATATTGCTAATAAAATGAATCAAAACAAACTTTGCTCCATTTCATGGGTTGTGATTGGTGTGACCGACCCCTGACGTTTCCTTTATACTCTCTATCCACGGTGGATAAGGTCTTTTTAGCGTCAGGAAATTATTTTTAAAAATATTGGTAAACTTTGGTAAATAATTTCATAAATTGAAAATTACATAGAAAAGTATGTTGCGTTTCATAAACAAAACAGGAAAGCATCGGTATGTTTGGTGTTAATATAAATGTTTTGAATTACGACTTTCTTTGATGAACAAATAAACATTTTGTTGTTGTAAAACGTTGTTATTGATAGACGCCACATCATTTTTGTTACAATGTCAGTTTACGTTATAAACTTATTTTATGGCTCACAGAAAGTTGATCTTTATTTTATTCTATTTACGAAGACGATGTTTACTCGATCCTCCGACAGCAATTTCAGCCATTTAGGCCTCCGTCGTCTTTCTCATTTGGGATAGCTAACAAAAACTAAAAATTTATACACATTTAAACTGACATTGTAACCCTATTAATTTTAACTTTATAATGCAGAGTATCAAGAGAAACTTACGTACATCTGTGCACTCTTTTCTTCAGTAAAGCAACTTAGTTTAACCTCAACTAAACTTTATGCTATAATTTTCACAAGATATGCTCTGTTCGACTTTCCTTCAGCCACACCTCAAATCCTCGTGTCGCAGCAATGTCGAACTTATATGTGCTAACATATAGTTATCCAAACGTATGAATATTTGCATATTACTTCAATGCGAAAGACGAAAGGAAAAACTTGCTGTTACAGGCTAATAGTTATCTTATGAATGTTTTTATGCAGTGCGGTGTTTGAAATTAAATGAGATATGATCTTCGCACTTAGCTGGACAATTTAAGCAATCGTCTCAGGACCTGAAAAAATCAGTTGACTCAACGGGATTCGAACCCATGACCTCTGCGGTGCCGTTGCAGTGCTCTGACCACTGAGCTATGAAGTCACACAGTGGTGAGCAGGTCAATATTGTTGGGCTATTGTTGGGTTCGAATCCCGTTGAGTCACCTGATTTTTTCAGGTCCTGAGACGATTGCTTAAATTGTCCAGCTAAGTGCGAAGATCATATCTCATTTAATAGTTATCTTGTTAACTATCTTACTGCCGTACAGGAAACAATCTTTCTGATTGTGCCAAACCTTTTGGCATTTGACAAAGATGCCATGTTAGCATAGCTTAAAACTCCAAGCCTGCACAACGACGCATTAACCAGGTAATATAAGTCTGTGAATATTTATACATAGATAGGACGGATTATTTTCTAAAATTATTTAAAGTACGCGTAATCGAGTAACACTTATTGAAATTATGGTGGACTAAAACTTAATCTGCATATTCTGTTGTAATCAGTGCAGAAGCAAACAAACGCTTGTGGAAGAAAAGGCCAAAATTAATGTGCAATGTGTGGCAGCAAAATTGCCCTTTAACACCACAACACTACTGGTCACTCTTATGCTCCAGAATAAAACATCAGTTATTAATAGAAAGGACTAAAAGATAAAAGATTTGCAAAACAAAGTATGAAGATTTTCAATGACAGCTTAAGCAGAAAAAATTTTTTCAAAGCATCAGTTTGTTCTTCGTACAAAGAAATAATGCCAAAAATGCTCTAAACGTTCCCATTTGCTCTATCCCATATTTCATCTCCGTAGGTTGCCATGTTTTCATTTTCTGTAGACCACCCAAAAGCACTTTTATTGCGATTCAGAAATAGAGCCAATGAAAGTCAGTTACAGGAAATTAAAATAGTTGACGTACGTCACTGAACGAGTAGTGTAAAGAGTAGTGTTATATTAGAATTTATTTTGTTAAAAAATAATCATATCAAGTGATCATTCACTATCAAGTGATCAAACAATTTTAAATAAATATGACGGGAGCAATATAATTGTTCTTAGCAATATTAGGATTATTTAAAAAGTGGCCCTTGTCAGTTAAGTTCACATTTGCAGTCAAAAATTTCAAAAAGATGTTAAATAAACTTAAAAGAAGGTGTATGCGAAAATATGCTTGATATTGCTAATTCATAAAAGTTTGTATGTTTTATGTATGATATGCATGTTATGTTTGTGTGAATTTTGTCCTTATTATAAAAGCTCACTAACACTCACATTCATTGAGTGCAACACAAGCCTTGAAAAGTTACAAGATGACTTTGTAGCCATGCTTAGTAATTGTGATTGGGAATAAGCTTTTATACAAACGTTGTTCTTGATGTTATATCCAAATTCTTAACTGATTTTTGAAGGTTTTTTATTGTAACAGAAGACAACAAATATCTGTTTTATACTTGAAGCAGAGGAGGCAGATGCATCAATACCGTTGGTTCTACAGATATAAGTATTTATTTTTTTTGAAATGTATGTTGTAATAGCACTTATATTTTGCAATGGACAAGGTTTGCGCTGTGTAATTTAAAACTTTTAATCGTGATTTGTGGGAAGAATTCGCTTTCCTTTGCACTTAGTTTAAATGCGACGTTGAAATTTAACCAAAGACAAGATAGAAACTTGTTTGTAAATTTTCAGGGTTCAATACTCGTTATTTGTGCTTATTGTATCATCTAAAGCTTTCTATAAATTGTGAAAGACATAATTGACATTGAATTGTCGTTGCTTCTTTAAAACTACTATTCACTTTTCCTTTTTTCATTAGTTGCAGGTGTTTCAGGCTTTATAACGACATTAGTACTGGTACTCATGGTAAAAAATTTATTTATTGAACATTTTAGATACGTAAAACATTTGCTTTTACGTCGTAAAAATATCTTTGTTTCATGATTTGATTTTTATATTTGTCAACTTCTGTTTGTTATAGCTACTAAATAATCAACATTTTCTGCTCATTCAACTCAATTTCTTTCTCTGACTTACTACGTACAACAGCTTTAGTTTCATCTTATGTCATACATCTTTATTGCAAATATATTTTGCCATAATGGAAACAAATTCTTTTCATGAATACTAGTGCAAAACAATCAACTTAGAACTTTAAATTATTCCTTTACATATTACATAATTAACGGCCTTTTTCAAAATTTCATCTTGTGCATTCTTGTTTGATTCCTGTTTTAATTCCTTTTTTCTAGGTTACGTCATCAACAGGACTTCTAAGGTGTGAAATGATTGGTTTTTTCATCCATCAATCATCTGCTCACAAACGTGAATTTCTTGCAGACTTTCGTATTTTGAAGTGTTTTTGTTCACCCATCATTTATTTATTATTTTCTTTGTTAGTTTGATTGTTCATGGCATGCAGTAAGTTGGAAAAATAACATTGACTTGTTACTCTGTGCAACGTCTTCTTTTTGCTGTAGTACCCAGGCTCTTCTCTTGCAATAGCCGTACACATTAATCTTTTTATAGAGGTTTAATACGTTGAAATACAAATGTTAGGGATCAAGATCCTGAATTTTGTCAATTATCACCAAAATGTCAAATTGATTCTCATTTTGAGTCCGCAGGACCACAGGTCAGCAAATCTGTTGTTTAAATAAACATAGAAACGTATCAAATAGAGATATTTTCTTATTTCAGTTGTTGAAATGGGTAGTAGCTCCGTTGTCATTATATTTCATTGAATGATTTATTCGTTTTCTAGATCTTTACAAACTGTCACTGTAACCAAGGTGACTGTTTTTGCTGTCGTCATTAAACCATTCCGCCAATACGACAATCCATTTCTTTATTGTTGTTGTTATTTAAAGATTGTGAAACATCCATCAAATGTTATTGAAATTCAAATGAAGAAATCTGGGTTTTCATATTTACCTTGTCAGGTTAGGTCATAAAATATTCACATATTTCTTCATAACCGTCATTTCTTATAGATTTTTCACTGTTTCAGTGTGCACCAATAAAGACTTTTTTGTGCAAAATACTATGTTGACTGTCAATGGTTTGGTTATTGAGGGACTGGGGCTTTCTTATTTATTGAAAAATAACTTTTTTCGCGGTGTTCTCTGATCTGACGTTCTACATTTATTATAAATTATTCATTGTTGTAATGTACAAATTATGACATTTTGACATGCTATGGTCAGCGAGTTGTTGATTTCTCAGGTTAACGGAGGGTTCCTAACCCCCTTCCCAAGGCCTTCCCTGTAACCGTTATCTTGTGGACAGTCATTCATTCATATGTTATTATAAACGTTATTTTACAGTATGTGTTTCCTCAATGTCCAAAAATTTCTCATTTGGAGTGTCATCCATTTACTTTAACCTCCGTACGTGCTTACATTTATCGCTGACATAAAATATTTGTTCCATCGACGTATATGTACAACTATAAACTTTATTTACAGCCCAGAGAAAGAGACGTTTAGCGTTCATATTCGCACTGCTGGCGACTGGACAAGTTTGTAGTTTGAATCTGAAACTTTTTTCATCGTTATTTACTGATTTTATTAAAATTTCTGCTTTTTTTTGTGCAGTTGCTCTATGAAATACCTGCACTGGAAAGAGAATAGAAACAAATAATCTTAATGATGTACCAAGGTTTACTACATTATTACTACAGGTATTGTTGTTATCTTTACAGTAGTTCAGAAATATTATATCATTAGGATAGAGATGACACAAAAAAAACCCCAATAAAATCACACTTCAAGTCAACTATTGTTTTGATCGACGAAAACTGAAGTCAATGACGAAAGATAAAACAAATCAATGTTTAAAATATTTATTAAAGCGTATTATATTTGAGATATAGAAACAAATTTAATGTTAATTAAGGGTTTCAAAATCTAGTACAACTTGATTAACAGCGGGTAAAACAGTGCTCTATAATTTTATCTCTTACAAATTTGTCACAGTGTTGATAAACACCTCGATCGATTTCAGCGTAGTGAGCGTACACTTGATGATCTTTGCAAACTTTTTGTAATCAAAATATCTTACGTTATGGCTCAAAAGAACTGGTCATCTTTGAAATCAACCGTTAGTTTGAAATTTGCATGATTCAGCGGCAATGATTGATCTCCCCGATAGGAGGTATAAATGTAATTAAAATAAGTTTCTTGACTGGGAATTTTAATGCACTGTAGCTACTATATTATACGTATGTAGTTATTAATTTATTATGTATTTAACTGCTTTTAATTAAGGCTCCTTGAGGATCAATTTTTGCTGAATCATGGAAATTGTAAATGTCTGATAATTTCAAATATTGTCAAGGTTGAAAAATGAGACATCACCATGAAATATGTGATAGTCAGTCAACAAACCAGCAAAATCAAAGTGAAGCACCTTTCATGTTGATGGAAAAATGTTCAAAGGTTAAAGAATGCGACTTTGACCAAAATTTTTTTAACGCGCTTGCATTTCACTTATTTACCTTCCAAATCGCAACAAACAACATAGCATTCCATAGCTAGAACCTGCACTTCTTTTTTTTAATATTTAAAACTACAGTTATTTATTCAGTAATTTACAAACATCAGCATATAAAAGGTGAATTACCTTTTTTTGAAACACCCTGTATGAAGAACTTAGATTCCCAGACCGTGGAAGCTCCCCTTTGGATAAATAAACTTAAATGTATATTTTATTAAATACGTGTATAATTTACGGAAAATAAAAAAATAAGAATCAAAGGAAGATATCATAATCCAGCCCTTTAATAACACCATGACAACTCGTAGCGTATAGCAAGTCTACCAATGCTATGAAAATAAATATTTTTTTTGTTCAATTACTTTTTCGTTACTCACTACACTACATATGAGATGACAACAGTAAATATGGGCCAGACACACATAATTAGAGTAAAAGCTCCATTTTTCTTGGCTACATTACTATCTAAAACATACATAAAAATAAATTACATTGTCAGGTGGTCACCAATGCCAGATCTATCAAAACGCTTGTCAGCAAAGGATTTTTATTGTGTTTAGTTTTTACAGAAAGGAATTGATTTGTGGCTCCATTTCAAGGAGAAAGATGCTTTGTTAGCCCTGGCTTTTGGGTGTGTTTTCTTTCTCCTTTAGCTGACCAGCAACAGTTGTATTTTCAGTTTCTGTAGGCAAAGGTTTAAATGAAGTGTTTGTTTGGCTCTTTTTGTTGTTTAATAAGAAAAATCGTAACATGTACATTATCTACATGAAAAATTTATCATGCTTAGTAAGTTTTAAAAAGCACAAACAATGCCTTTGCTGTGTAAATATATAATTTTCTGTAAATATACAATATAATTTGTATTTAAAAGAATTGTGTGTGCAGAGAACGTCAATAGTTTGGTTACTTGATTCAACATTTCTTTCTATTTACGGTTAAGGATATACACCTTAATTGTTGTGAATATTTTCTTTTTTTGCTTACATTCAAATGTAGTAAATCTCATTTTTAATTTATGTTTGATTTTCTTGGGATCAGAGATAACCACAATATTTTGTAATGTGATTTTGTGGTAAAATTATTTATGTAGCTGGGAGAATCATTTTCAAAGCAATGTAAAGTATAAACTAAAGCAAAAGCAAGACATGAATGTCATAGCAATGAAAATAACTCATTACTGTCCATATCAGTAGTAAAGACACCTGAAGAAATGACTCATTTACTGTTCTTATCAGTTGTAAAGCCATTAGCCAAAAATGTCTAGTCATGTCTTTCACTCCTGAACATGGATACATACCTTAAAGGAGGGTGTTGCCCCAGAAATATATTCCTAATATAAACTTTTTATAGTTTGTACACAATTTCTCTAATGTTCAAATAATGTTTAGGAAAAAAAAAATAAGAAGTTCCTTGCAAAATGAAATACTAACTGTTACACACAATGCCAGAGCTCTTCAGATGCCCAGGGAATAAATGACATAGCAGACTCCTTATTTTAGGTAGGAGGCACATATTCATATATTCATGTTCTGCCACATTAAGTTCCTTTGAAATCCATTGTTTTCAACAAACTGAGACATGCATATATGAATTGGTGCCCCCAGAACAACTGTCCGCCCCACTGCTGGGATTTTTTATATATTAGTAAATCTGGTAGTCTAAAATCTGGTAGTCGAACAGTTAAATGTGTCATTTTCACTTCTGTTAATGCTATGGCAATGATATCCTACTTTTTCTTCTTCAGGTTATTTATAACTTTTACTTTACACTGCCTTGATAGTTTGAACTATAATAAAGTATTATTGAATCAATCATTAAATAAATATATCCTCCAAAGTAAAAAAAAAGACATTGTCATGACAATTAAGGTGTTAGTCCCCAAATCAGGTATGACTGAATCAAATAACAATAACTGCATGTCCATTTCAAACAAATACAATTCTCATAACTAGAGAGTATATTTTGTAAATTGTATGAATGAATAGAAACAAATATAGAAAAGACTGTATTCATACTTATAAAGCAAAGCAAATCTTGTTAGCTTTTTCGCCTTTCAAAAAGAGATAATACATGATCATGGTTGATGTAAGATCAGTATTTACTATATTGCAAACTAAACTCATAAATATACTTTGATAGTTCCATACAAATTTCTTAAAAAAAACTGTTTCAGTAAATAAATGGCAATTGAAAACTTGAAAATACAAATGTTTGAATATTGTCAATAATATGTTTATACCTTTTATAAATATACAACTGTTGTTATTTGAACCTTTGTAAAAGAAATCAACAATACAACTGTTTCTAATCAGCTTTAATATAAAGAAGACATAACTAAAATAAAAAGAGAAATTGAATTTCTTCAACATTAAATATGAGCTAGAAATTCATTTCCTCTTCTTCTATCTCCTTGTACGTTTTCTCAAAGACAGGATTAATTTAGCTTCTAGCAAATAAAAAGTAAATAGAAGTCCAAATGTTTCAGTTTCAATATCTATAGTTTGTTTATAACCAAATGAAGATTGTTGTATATTATTGCAGTACATGTTCAGGTCCAAATGCTTTCGTTTTAATTTCTATCGTTCTAAACTGAAAATACAACTGTCTTTTGTCCTTTTTTTCTTCCTTTATCTCGTGAAACGTTTCTCAAATACGTAAGACTTGTAGCTGTTGGCAAATAAAATATAAATATAGAGATCAAATGCTTCACTTTTAAGTTCTGTTACTCGTTATAAACTTTATTGTATTGGTTTTTTATGTTTTTGCTATCACAGTAAATTACAGCATGATTGCTTTCTCGCAATATTAACATGGTCAGGTCCAAATGACTTCGTTTCAATTTTAATAGCTCGTTCATAAAAATCTTTTGCTTTTTCGTACTCTCCCATATTATCGTAAACAGAAACCAGATTGTTGTACGCTGCCGCAATATTAACATGGTCATGTCCAAATGTTTTCGTTTCAATTTCTATCGCTCTTTCATAAAAATCTTTTGCTTTTTCGTACTCTCCAATTTTACTGTAAACCGAACCCAGATTGTTGTACGTTGTCGCAATATTAACATGGTCAGGTCCAAATGCCTTTGTTTTAATTTCTATAGCTCGTTCACAAAAACATTTTGCTTTTTCGTACTCTCCCATATTATTGTAAACCGAACTTACACTGCTGTACGTTTTCGCAATATTAACATGGTCAGGTCCAAATGCCTTTGTTTTAATTTCTATAGCTCGTTCAAAAAAATCTTTTGCTTTTTCGTACTCTCTCATCATACTGTAAAACGAACCCAGATTGTGGTACGTTGCCGCAATATTAACATGGTCAGCTCCAAATGTTTTTGTTTGAATTTCTATCGCTCGTTGATAAAAGTCTTTTGCTTTTTCGTACTCTCCCATTTTATTGTAAACCAAACCCAGACTGCTGTACGTTGTCGCAATATTAACATGGTCAGGTCGAAATGTTTTCGTGATAAGTTTCATCGCTGGATCATAAAAAACTTTTGCTTTTTCGTACTCTCCCATTTCACTGTAAACCGAACCCAGACTGTTGTACGTTGTCGCAATATTAACATGGTCAGGTCCAAATGTTTTTGTTTCAATTTCTATCGCTCGTTCATGAAAACCTTTTGCTTTTTCGTACTCTCCCATATCTTTGTAAGCCGAACCGAGATTTCTGTACGTTTTCGCAATATTAACATGGTCAGGTCCAAATGCCTTTGTTTTAATTTCTATAGCTCCTTCAAAAAAATCTTTTGCTTTTTCGTACTCTCCCATTTTACTGTAAACCGAACCCAGATTGTGGTACGTTGTCGCAATATTAAAATGGTCTGCTCCAAATGTTTTTGTTTGAATTTCTATCGCTCGTTCATAAAAATCTTTTGCTTTTTCGTACTCTCCCATTTTATTGTAAACCGAACCCAGACTGTTGTACGTTGTCGCAATATTAACATGGTCAGGTCCAAATGTTTTTGTTTGAATTTCTATCGCTCGTTCATGAAAGTCTTTTGCTTTTTCGTACTCTCCCATTTCTTTGTAAACCAAACCCAGATTGCTGTACGTTTTTGCAATATTAACATTGTCAGGTCCAAATGTTTTCGTTTTAATTTCTATCGCTCGTTCAAAAAAATCTTTTGCTTTTTCGTACTCTCCATTCTTCCTAAGCAATACACCCAGCTCGTTGTACGAATATGAAACATCAATATGATCAACACCTAACACTTTAGTTTGAATTTCTGATATTTCATAAAGTACTTTAGTTGCAAGTTTATAGTTGCAAAATCTTTTTAAAACATCTACAAAATATTTGGCAAATTTCCAATTTCTTTCATTAAGTTTTGGTTTTGATGATTTTACATTGATCAACTTATTTAGGAAATGTTGAAATGATGAATTTGTTATGAATTTAATTAGATGTGGAATTATTTTGATTTCATCTTCTCTGTCTTTAAAATGATTTAGTGCCCAAGCAACTAGACATAAAAGATCCGCTGCAGACTCTTTAGAATTATTTTCGTTCTGTTTACAGCCAAAGGTCTGCGATGAATAATTTATGATGGCTTCGTGTACAACGCTGTGCAGGTGGATGTCGTTGTTTTCCGCTTGAAGGAATAAAGAACAATGCTTTAATTGAAGACAGACATCTTCTGCAGATTTTTCTGGATCAATGATTTTAATAAATGTTATTAAAACATCTTGTGGTAAGGGATCGAAAGATATTATTGAGAAAAGTTTAAAAACATGTTCCAACAAGATGGATTCTTCAGCATTTTTTTGAACTGCTATCATAACAGTTTTCATTCCTAAGTAAGATGTGTTTATTTAATGAAAATTGGCATCCATGTTCTGTCGCTCTCCTTCATTCAACTTATCAAAATATTGCTCCCACGTGAATGTCGGAATTACAATTTTTACACTACCTACGTAGAAAGAAGCATTTGCCAAGAACAACGGTTGACGATCTAATTTGTCTGATAAATCCTTTAACAATTTTTCATCTTTATTATGAATATCAGAAAAGAAAGATAGAAGTTCTCGACATTCTTCGTTGTTCAAACCATCTTTAATTGAAATGTGCTTATTTAGATTTCCATCTGGTGGTATAGCATCTGTATTTTGGACAGTTACTATAATTTGACCATTTTTCCAGCTATGATCACCAACTTGAGGTAATAATGGATAAATTTTATGAAGTTCAACCACGTTATCTACAACAATCCACCATGTTTGCCATGATTTCAGTTGTTGTGTCAGCAATAATTGAAAATCTTTAATTTTGTCTTTGCTGCTTTTTGTTTCTTTCAGAATATTTTCAATGACTGTTTTATCATTGTTAAAGCGTTTACAATGTTCAGCATAAGTTTTTAAAAGGGATTCTGAATCATTTCCTTCGAGAGTCATCACAAATGTTTTTTTTATTTTCCCAGTCAACCGACTTAAACATTTCTTCACAAACTTGTCTGGCTAATTCAGATTTGCCACTACCGGGATTACCAAATATATATTAATATGTTAGTTCATTATTGTTAGTACTGCGCAAGTTATTGAGATCTGCTGTAATTTGATTAAGTAATTCTGTACGTTTAACCACATCGTGATTTGGTTTGCAAGGAAGTACTTGAAAAGAACTAAATTTGTTTCGTTCACTTTTTATTTCATTAATTTCGTTAAATGAAAATCCTAGATCTTGAAATGACTTTTCAATATTACAAAGCCTTTTTTGAAATTTGTCATCAGAAACTTTTCCTTTATATTTATGGATGAATGTGTTTCTTACTTCACGAAGTTCATTCAAAGCATCTCTAACTTTTGGATCAATTTTTGTTCCAATTGATTTGGAATGCAATATTGCTGCAAATAACGTCGTACAATCCCACTTACTAGTGTCACCAATTTGAAAATTTGACAGAATATGTTTTTCAGGAGGTCTCCTTTTTGAAATTTCCATGTTGAACAACTTCTGACCACTAACGTTTGTATTTTCCCAATCTCCGAGGGATTCTTTGTAATGCGTGTTCCATTCTTGGATAAAAAGATCAACAAGTTTCTTTTCAACATCTGTAAGTACTTTCTGCAGGTAGAAATTATTAATTTCTTCTCTTGACTGCATCTAAGGGTCATAAATTTACTAATATCAAGACAAATTGGTTCTTTAATTAGAGTTTATACACAACTAAAATTGTTGAAGATCAAACATAGCTACGTAATGTTACAGTTTTACTTGTACGTGTAAATGAATATCGAGGATGGCAGCTGAAAACAACGCAATTGGACATTTTAGTTTTCGTGCATTTAGGCATTTGCAAGTGGGGACAAAACTTGTAAAACGTCCGTTGCTAGCGAAATGGCCGTAAAAATTGCTTCTGCACTGGAAATTTTTGAAATATTTATCACAACATGAATAGTTTCAATTTTTTAACTTCTCAGTTAAACCTTGGCGGATTTGTACATTCTTCGTGTTATAACGCTACGTAGATTGATTATTGATTTTAATGAAATGTTTTCATATTATAATACTCCCAGAATTGCAGTATTTTCACGAGCCTTTCTCTTAGTCATTGCTATATTTGTATTTTTGTGTCTACAAGTTTGAGTCTACGAGTATACTTGTCCACGATCTCATACAAGTTCTAAGATATGGTGTAATGTGGTTCTTGACAAGCATCACAATAGTACTTGCTCTTCTTTGCACACTAGGCACTTGAATTATTCTAGAATTATTGTTTCATTATTTTCATTTTTAAGGAATTGAAATCTTCACAATTCGGCCAGCAACCCATAAAAGGTAAACGCAACGCAAACTAGTCTACACAGCGAATAGAATGCTTCCTTTTACAGTAAAGTTGTGCAAATTCCGTAAGAGCTACATTAATGTCATGTGCTTCTTTTTCAATTTCGAATGATTCATATGAAGACTCTTATCTAAAATTCAAATGGGGGGTGCTTTGGAGGCACATCCAATTTTAAGGGGGCACGTGACCCCTTCTCAGGCACCAATTTAGCGACGCCACTGCATGTTGGAATGAAAATGGAGGTACTGAGTTTTCTTATCACTTAGGTAGGTGTTTAACAATTTGTCTAACTGACACAGAAAGTTTGTGCAGGCAGTCTGCTTCAATACAATGACTACTTAGTCAGCTGTACAAAAGAAATATATATGAAGCAGAGTGTTCTGTAATTTAGCCTTTGTATTTAAAAAAATTCTTATTTCTTATAAAAGATCTGATTACCTTCTAGAAATAATCGTAAAGACAACCATGAGAAATAAATCTTCCTTCCAATAAAAAAACATGTAAAACATAAGACATGTCACGTTTGATTTAAAAAACAAAAAATTCGTTCTTGGTGTGTAGAATGCAGATTGAGACTGTGCCCAGGCGTACATTTAAAAAATTAATCAATTACACACTGTGAAATATTGTGGTGTATTCTGGCATTGCCGATTTATAGTATTCTGCATGTAATCGACATCCGAGTTTCATGTCAATGCCATAAAATGTACAATTTACTTATTGTGTTTCCTTGCATGCATTTCAAGTTTCTTAAAACATGTCTAACATTTAAAATGTTTTGGAAAATATAGAAAATGACTAAAAAAACCAAAAAAATTGTTTTACATCTACACCAACAAAAGAATACCACGTGTCTGTTTCTTACAATAAAAATTTGTTGTTGCATTTTGAGAGGGGGCACAGGACCCCAGAGGTTTGAGTAATCGTCAGGCATTTGAGCTTAACTCCATATGTCGTTTGCATAAACAATAAAAAAAAAAGCCAAAAAGACGTCAATGTATTTAATTATAAGGAAGAAAAGGAGCATGAAGGAAAAGATTTAAGTAAAGGGAGTTAGCTCACCTGCCATCTACATACACTACCATGCACACAGATTAAACTTAGTAATCCAGAAAGCACTCTCATATGTTGAACCATTGCATTTTAAAAGAAAGCAACCAGTCACATACACTTTTTGGTGATGCACATTGTATAACAGCAATCCAAAGCTCACACTCAAATCCCAATATGAAACCAGGTGTTTGTGTTGTTACAAATCCGTCAATGCAGTTATTCGACAAGTCAAGAGTATTACCAAAGCATTGGTTTAATTAATAAAGCATAAGGATCCATAAACATCACCGCCCGCGAATTTATAATTTGATACTGTTTGAGGTTTCGTATTCGTCTTCTGTTTTGTTCTTCTAAAAATATAATTGTGAAAATGTTAGTGTCTTAAACATATATTTACAAAGTAGCACTATGGATGTTATCAGTGCTCGTAAAACAGCACACAGAACAGATATTTCTCTTCAATGTTATCATAACGACAAAAACTTTGATGGTGTCTGACAAATGGCGGAAAACACTGGCAACCAAATAAAGTGTGTTATCAAGAGACCCGAAATTTTCATTCAAATAAGCAACTGCACCAAGAATTTACCATTTTACAAGACGCCTCTAAGCTGTAGTTGGTGGGTCATAAAATGGCCAATATAATTATCATAGTATGTCAGCCATTGCTTATCATCGAGTGAACACTTATTTTGTTGCTTTAGAAATAGTTGTTGGGAAATCAAAACAAAGGCTTACTTTGGTGGACAAAGATATTTTGTTTATCATTGGTGACGTAGTGTTAAATGACAGCCTAGCAGAATTTTTCCCAAAGTTCACATTTTTTCTAACTTTCCATGGTGCGTGAGTGTGAATGGCCCACACCAGCTAAACAGAACAAGAAACACATGCAACTGGAAATGATAACGGCCAATTTGCCTTAAGAATAATCGATCCATTAGCATCTACCGCAGAGATCCCACGAGATACTACGCATGCCTACCTTGGTCATTCTCTACCTTGCTCACCGCCATTACAGATGGCGTGTTTGGTCATATACGAATAATCCATAAAATAATTTGCCATCTGGCTGTGTAGAACGACAAAATAGGTGTAAAAACAATACAGGACAAAACTCCTACATAACCACTGAGTTTGCGCGGAAAACTCTTTTTCTGTGGTTAGATAATCTATTCAACAACAAATGGCACAAGTCAGCGAAGCAATTGAGCAAGCAGACGACTTGACGCTCTTGCATAACCATCCTAATTTGACGCTGTCGGGCTTATTAGGAGACGTGAATGTAGCCGATGAACCTGAACAGAAACGGTCTCGTTTACAAGGGAAAATGAGAAAATCTGGCGGGGCCGGGTATAAACACCCTGCTAAAGCCAACAACAACAATCTGCTAAAAGAAGGAAATGACGGGACAACTACTTTGGATGACCTTAACAGGAAAGTCGATCAACTTACTGTCTTGATGAAAATTTTGGTCCTGTCGTAAAAGAGTTCAAGCAGGCTTATGATGCTGCACGACAAATGAACGATAATGTTGATATGTCTGAAGGTGAAACTGTTGACGAACACTCAACCAATGGGTCTGCTGTTGTAGTTGCAGATACAGCTCCAGCTCTAGAAAACCAAAGCGATGCTTTTATTAGATGAGCTGATTCACGAAGTGACTGAGAATGAGCCGACAGACCAACCATTGTCAACTAAAATTTCTAAAGTCCTGACCAGCATTTTGTCCATTGGACATTATGAAAACTGAAGGAAGGGGTAAAATGACCCAAAAACTGTGATCTTTTAAGAGTTACAAAGGTGAACCCAGAAATTAGGGATATTGCTAGGAAATCCACACGTAGCAAGGATGCACGTCTACAAAAATTACATGCAAGAAGCCTTAATAAAGGGCCTCATTCCAATTTCCCGAATTGCGAAAAACTATTAGTACCTCTCTTGGAACAAACCCTACAACAACTGCACCGACATCAGGACACCAGAGGTTCTTTGGGATGGGCTGTCCACATCTATTGTGCTTCTTGCTTCAGCTAATCATGATCTGAACATTTGCCGCAGGGACTTGTTCAAAGTTGACCTTGATGAAAATTACAAGGCAATCTGTAGTAAAAAAGAACCTGTTGCTGCAAAACTGTTTGGTGAGGATTTAAAGGAACGCCTGAAACAGTAAAAGAAAGCAAAAAGGCAGCACAGCAACTGACAAGCCAAAAAGAGAAACGCAACGATCAACGGTTGACCAGCTCATATAATTCCAATGTGCCTTTTTTATTTCAACGTCGGGGCGGTCATTTGCAAAGCCGACCCCAACGACGCTACTATTATCAAAACCAATCCAAGAGGAAGTCGAGACGGGGAAAAACACTAAGAAAGCAGTGATTCCTACTCTTGACCGTGTAAGTTTTAGCAAACGCGAGTGTAGTACTTCTGTCATATCTGGGAGAGACAATGATTGTAGCATAGTTGCAGGCCGGATACAACAATTTATCGGGAAGTGGATGGAGCTAAGTCACGATCCTTCGATTTTATCAGCTGTAAGCGGATACAAGATTGATTTTCATATAGACCCAGTCCAGCTGAAGCAACCCCACTCCATAAAAATGTCTCCTTCGGAAGTCCAAAATGTCGATCGTCAGGGGTAACTTTGATGCGACATTGAAACTCTCCTCTTCGGCACTGGAGGACGTATCTTGGTGGATAAATAATGCAGATGAGTCCAAAAAACATCTGAATCACGGTAAGATGCAAACATCGCAGAAGTTGACATGTTTGCTTTTAGACTAAACTATATACTTAAACCCTATGTCTCGTGGTATTGACGCTTTTTGCATTGATTGGAGTAAATTGTTTCTTTATGCTTTTCCACCTTTTAGTGTTATATCACAAGTTTTACAAAAAGTAGAAATTTCCTAGGCGCAGACAATTCTCATCGTGCTGAATTGGCCAACTTAATCCTGGTATCCGATGCTGGCAAGGTTAATGATTCACCGACCTATTCACCTACCCAAAAACAAAAGCAACATGAGCTTACCATCCAATCAAACAAACGAACATCCACTCAAAGGGAGTCTGAGACTGATAGCTTGATTCTTATCCGGAGATCACTCTCAAGTAAGGGTATTTCACCACAAGCTCAAGCATCAATACTTAATTCATTTCGGCCAAGAACACAAAAACAATATCAGGTGTACCTTAACAAATGGCAACTCTATGTTAATAAACGGAATGCAGACTCCCTTCATCCAACTTTACAGCTAGTTCTAGACTTTCTATAGCACCTATTTGATCAAGGGATGAGTTACAGTTGCATAAACACTGTTCGAAGTATGTTATCTTCATTCGATATTAACAAAGGGAATTCTAGGATTGGTACACATTATATGGTTCAGAGATTTATGAAGGGAGTGTTCCAATCTAGACCAGCACTACCAAGATATCAAGTGAACTGGGACACCTCTATTGTTTTAGAGTATTTAAAGACATATCCCGCAGTAGGAGACATAACCCTGCAACAGCTAACACATGAGTTGGTAATGCTCTGTGCATTAGTCACAGGGCAGCGTGCTCAATCACTTCACCTCATGAACCTCTTAACTGCAAAGAAGGAAGAGGAATCATACACCATCTATATCGACCAACTTGTCAAACAGTCTGTACCAACATGCATTCAACCTACTTTACATTCACCGACTATGTGTTGCCGCAGTCATGAAAGAATATATTATCGCACTGCTTCCATTCAGTGTCAGGAAAATCAATTATTTCTTAGCACAATTCGATCCTTTCTTAAAGTATCAAAGTCATCTATATCTCGTTGGATAAAGGTTGCTATGTAAGCTGCAGGAATTGATATAGAAACGTTCAAACCACATAGTACACGAGCCGAAGCCACCAGTAAAGCGAAGCAATGTGATGTTTCGATAAACTCTATACTGAAAGCTGTAAGTTGGAAGACTGATTGCGTTTTTCATCGGTTTTACAATAAGAACGTTTTGTCTCCACGTGGCGATGCGGAGTTTGAGAATGCCATTCTTTCAGCGTCTTAATAAGAGAGATATTGGATGAGAACTTGGCAGAGAGTTCAGACCACATATACTTTATGTATAGTGCAAGAGAAGGAAATATTTGAATTCATATTTGTTACTATTTCTGGGTATGTTTCATACATCTCCAATTGAAATATATTTATAACTTAAAGTCGTATTTACGTGTAGGTATGAATTGTGTCCACATGACTTTCAAATCTCGTTAGATCTCTGCGGTAGATAATAATAGAATTAAGAAATTGAACGTGAGATTACCAGATGTTACTGCCTCCCTGCATATGCACATTTAGGCGGTTCATGTGGCCACTATCTTTGAAATATGACCAATTTGCACTTGCGTAGTATCTCGTGTAATCTCTGCTCTGTAGATGCTAATAGAATCCCAACCGAACTTCAACTTCAGGTAAGTCTCGTTCAATTTCCTAATTTTGTGTCAATATTAATGAATTTTATGTTGACATCAATTAAAATGCATCAAAGATAATTGTTTTCAGTTGATCATGCATAAGATTTTCAGTAAGAGAATCCAATAAGAAATAAAATAATGTTGGTCTTCTTGAAGATAGTCATGTCAGAAAAATTAAAATCATTCCGTATAATGATATGCATAACTGAAATTCTGTGATGTGTCCTTATTTTGACTCATTTTGTTTATTTTTTAGAATGATATTTGAAATGAAATATTGGAATGTATTGCTAGCGATGAATTGTATTGCCAACACAATTTTATAGTTTAGTTTTGTTCATGTGGAAGTTAACATCCATGACAGTATAGGTCTGTCGATAAGTTTCATATTCTTCACAAAACTTTTTAACAAATTGTTGAAGCTGAAATTTATAATTATCTTAAAAAAATGTTTCATTGTGAGATGAAAACAATCAAAACATGTAATGATAACGAAACAATGACGTAAACTTTGTGAGCACGTGCTTAACACTTACTCTTATAAGAGGGTCAAAAGTGCGTCATTTATATTCGCTGAATTTCAAAAATCTTGCAAGATCATCCAATAGTAAAATCATGGCAAATGCTTAAAATAATGTTGTAAGATCTTGACAAGAACTTGCTTAAAATCTTGCAGGATCTTGCAGAAGTAAAATCTTGTCAAGATCTTTAAAAGATCTTATAAATAGCGTTTAAGGATTACATTTGGTGTTATTAGTGCAAGTGTTTTTGGTTATTTAGTTCTTCGAATATCTGCGTTCATTATATGCTGTGGTGAGAATTCTGTAGAAAGAAGTTTACATTTGGTGTTATTAGTGCAAGTGTTTTTGGTTATTTAGTTCTTTGAATATCTGCGTT